CAGAGAGAGCATCACCAAACGTATCTAGACCTAAACCCGGTAAGACATGTGCAGGACCTCCGTTCACTTGGCTACTTTTACAATACTGCACAGTTTGTGCTTGCTAATGTCTAACAAGGCTGAGCCAGAGTTGGAGTCGGAGAAGTTGAAGTGAAATGACAACATTGCTGTCCAAGCATGTTTACTTACTTGTTTACATAAACAAACATGACCACAAACTTCTGACCAATCACACAATATTTGGTGCAGACCCCTGTGAGAAAAAATTCATTCAAGGTCATGTGTCAAGAAGGGGTCGGCGAAGTTGCTCTGTGAACAAAATTACGCAATTTTCGTCACGCAAATACGACAATGAGTTGATTTTGCTGCTTCAGATGGAGTACGCTGAGCCCTTCAGTCTTCCCATAGTAGATCAAGCAGTTTACTGGTGACAACCAAAACTAGTTGTTCACATGCAAAAGGAGGACCATCAGCCTAATGACCAATCTTTAGTTCCCTGATGGCTGCTTACTACAGTATGCACAGGGGGCTGAGTGATACTAGCAATAACAGCATTGTAAGAGGGGGACAGTTGAACACGGAGGCCTCCGCCCCAGTTTAACAATGGACAACTTCTCTTCACAAAGATGGCCTCCTTTACTCCTCTCTCAAACCATTGTTCCTCTCTATCAAAGATGTGAATCTTTGTCCCTGAATGTGTGACCGCTGGACTGGAGATGAGTGTTGACCACAGAGTCCTGGCCTGATGCTGTTGATCTTCTGTGCTGGTCCATCCTTTTGGCCATTAACTGTTTAGTTTCCCCGATGTAAGACTGATCACAGCCCTCCTTACACTGAACAGCATACACAATATTACTCTGTGCTGGGGGACAAACTAGTCTTTGCCGTAATGTATTTTGGGGTTTGAAAGAAACTGAGATGTCATGTTTAGAAAATAAACATCTCAGTTTCTCTGAAACTCCTACAACATATGGAATGACCACTGGTCTGGGTTTCTCCTTTTCACCTGATGGCTGGCTGGAGTCCTGTTTGGGTTTCTTCTCTGCTTTCAGGAAGGCCCAGTTAGGATATCCACATTGCTCCAGGGCCTGTCTTGTGTGGGATTTCTCTTCTCCCTGGCCCCAGAGTTAGTGGGGACACTGTCCACTCTGTGGTACAGAGTCCTGATGACTCCTAATGTGCTCAAGTGAGTGATGGGAGTCAAACCACAAGTTTAAAAGAATTTAAATATAGTCTGTCTTAGTGGGTTTGTGGTGCACATCAGTTTCCAAATGTCTCCATCAGAGACTGAGACCTCACAGTCCAAGAAAGCCAGCCTGCCATTTTTTACATCTTTTGTGTGATCTTTATATATTTATCCACAGAGTTGATGTGATCAGTGAAATGTTGGACTTCCTGAGATTTCATTTTAACCCAGGTGTCATCAACTTAGCTGAACCAATGACTTGGTGGTGTCCCTGAAAAGGACGTCAAGGCTCTCTTTTCTACCTCCTCCATGTACAGGTTGGCAACAATAGGAGAAACTGAAGAGCCCATACCACAGTTATGATTCTGCCTACCATATGTGAAGTAGGTTGACTACATGCACAGTTTCAATAGTTGTCACTGTTGCTCTGTGGAAACTCATACTGTTGCTTTAGTCTTTTGGATAAAAGACAAAATGTTTCAACAAAGAACATGTCCAGAGGACCTGACTCAACCTTGTTAGCTTTATCTGCCTGGATTATTGAGCATAAATCAGGATGTACTGCACTTGTTCTTAGTTGCACACACTTTTTGCAGTATGATTTAGAAACATGTTAAAGAATCCCTTCTCACAGAGCAGTGTGAAAGACTACTTAAACATACTGCTACTCCACCTGCTGGTATTCCAAGAGTAGTGCAAAACTTTAAATATCATGCAGCATCAAACTGTGTGTGTGTTTGTGTTTATGGGTGGGGGATTTGGCATGGGTGTTTGTTCATTTGTCTGTAGCTTGAGCAAAATATATTATAAACTGAGACAGATTTTCATAAAACTCACAGAAAGTAACAAACTGACATGCACTGTCAACTGATTAACTATTGGAACCCCATTCAAGATGGTCGCCACAGCTAAGCAACACTACCCTAGACAAAAATGGCTATTTCTCATTCAATTTCATCCACACTGAGCTAAAATTTGGTGTGCAAGTAGCTGAGAGTCATTTACAACACATTCTCTGAGGGCTAACACACCTTGCGTGATTGTGCATAACATGACTTTTATGCAGTCTTTCAAGGCCTGCAAGGTCTTTAAATATTGTCTTTATTTGAAATTTTTTTTGTCAGTATGATCATTTTTGTCACATTTACATTTATGTGTGTGTCTATTTTGCTGACAGACTACCGGAGTGATTGTGCGTGCAAATAAAAGGGCACAAGTGAACATCTTGATCAACAGACTCAGTGGATTCCCGTGAGTATCTTTGTTCAAAAATATCTAATAGTACTGATACAATATATTATGTCCTATAATGTGGATTGTTTTTCTTTTCACTGTGTTCCCAACAGCAAAACAAGAGGCCTCAATGATACAATCTTTCCTGTTATGTTCCTCAATGAGGTGAGAAACAATATACACTTTTGTTTTGTAATTGCTGACATGTATAGGTACTGTCTTACTGTTTTTATACAACTAGGAGTAGTAATTAAGTTGTTTAAATGCACAGTTCAACATTTTGAGAAGCTGATGTTTGAAGAAAGACAAGAAAACTGGTGTGACTGTGCAGAATGAAGCTGGTCAGCAGCTTTTAGTTCAGTTGAGCTCTGCTTAGAAGAAACAATGAAAATAGCAGGAAACTGTGTGGTCAAGTGCTTTTGCTTGAGGTTCCTCGATATACTATTTTTCCACAGTACAATAACCAAACTGTTAGATAAAGTAATGTTGTCATCATTGTATTTTCCCATACAATGGCAAAAATTGCTTCTCTGCATTTAACCCATCGCACCTAGGATATACCCAGGTGGAGCAGTGGGCAGCTATGTAGGCGCCTGGGGAGGAATTAGGGATCTTGCTCAGAGACACCACAACATGTGGGAATGGCTGGGGATCGAACCTGGGACTTTTTGGTCCCGAGTCAACTTCCCTACCTCTACCCCATTGGTGATTTTACAGTACATTGATTGCATTATATTGTAGGTGTTTGGGAGCCTGCATGGATGTTATTATATTTTCTCTGTGATGGACTGACTTTCTGTCCAAAGTGTATCGAGTCAAAGTATCCATAGAAAACAGAGAATAGGTTGAGAATTGCAACCAGATGTTGCCTTGCTGCTTGCTTAGTGTCTTCATTCAAATGCTTAAATAGATAGATTTTCTCAGTTTCTTCGAAGTAAGACATCCAAGTGATTCCTGAACTTAAAAATTGCCTTTGTGCTTTTAAACTTTGCTGCTTAATCTAGAGCAAAGTTTCCCGGACCTTTCAGGTTTTGATGGACAACGTGAAAGTGGTAGAGATTTGTGACCATGATTATTGCAGATGAAGTATGCAAACATGCTAATAAGCTATTTTACAACACAACTCAACTATTATAACTTCATTAATCAGTTTATGACTCCTGGGTTTTTTTTCTTGAAGCAAATGTGCCCAAACAAACAAATAAACAAACAAACAAAATCATACAAACAAACAAACATACACACATACATACATACATTATACATATATACATGCATATATGCATACATACATACATTATACATACATACATTACATGCATACATACATGCATATATGCATACATACATACATACATGCATACATACATACATTACATACATACATACATGCATATATGCATACATACATACATACATACAT